TACAGTGTGGTACTGCGAAAAAAAAGCTCACAAACTATAATATTTAGCTGTTGTGCCACTGGCCAACCTGTATGAAGTTGAGAATTCAAGCTTTTATATTTTTTTAAGAGTAAAATTTCCTATAACTTTTAGATCTCTTGTAGCTGCTACTCCTTACTGGCCAATTTAAGCCTGTTAACGCTAAATATAAAATCAGGTGTTACATCCAAAACTACCTTAAAAGCTACTTTATAATGAACCAGATTGTGGTGTGACTGAAGCTGTATCAAAGTCAAGCAATAATGCCAAATATGTGATCCTAAATATGGTGTCACTAACACTGTCTGTTAAAATTGTGCTACACCGCATACAACTTAAAGGCATTTCCCAAACATGTAATTGAACGTTTTTTTCCCATGTTGCCTTAAAGGTTGCATAAAAAGGACCCTCTCCCAGCTGAACGCTATTATTTCAAAATAATTTTTGTTACAATGGCAGTGGCAGTGCCCAGCTCCCCATTCCCTTTGTTTGACAATTCCTTGTCAATTAGTCTTGAAAATGGCTATAATTGACTCAACCACCTTAGACTTCAGTGGGTTTTGAAATTAAGTTCACAATTTTTAGATCTGGTTGGGTTTTCATATTTGGATGGGTTCAATAAGCAGCCTACAAATCAAACCCTCTCATCCCTAATGGTGGCTACTCCTTTACATTTGAGAACTAACTGCCTGCTTTCAGGCAACAATTGACAACTTGCTTTATAGAATTGTTTGTGGACATTGGCCCTCTAAGGTTATCTTCTGGGTTTCCCACAAACTACCTTAACCAATCATAACTGCAATCATTATAATAGAAAGCATTTCATGTTTATAGGTACATTACATTAATACAAATGGGAAGACTGCAACATTATATTATAATGTAATATTTTAGTATAGGTTTTCTATTTGATTGCAAATATTGATGAACCATTTAGAGCTGATTAGAAACACATTTTGTAGATGTAATTAGCATCCAGAAAAATTTTATTACTTTGTTTTCGGACATACAGACACGCATACTACCTCTTTTACTAAAGATATATATTTTTCACTTGGCCAAGTGAACCTATCTTCCTTGTAAACATCCAATCATGTTCTTAGTAAATTTCACTGCAAATTTGTAAGGCATCCTGTAAAAAATGAATGTCTAGTATCAATAACAGTAATAGAATGGGTACTATACTTAAATTACCAATTTCATAGAACTTTTATACTATTTTTCCCCTAAACTTTTTAGATCATAGCAGCTAGATATCTGTTTAGTTGAGATGAAAACACTCACCTAGTATATGAAAAGGTATTTGGATGAAATAATGACTTGTACATTTAGTAAGCAAGCTCTCAAAAGGCCAAAGTAACATACTTTATATAGCTATATGACCAAAAGTGGACGATGACAACATCCACCTCTATAACGTCATGCCACATCATCCACAAAAGAAAACTCTCTAAACATATTTGTTGGTATTCCACAAGTGGTTTCTATTGTAGACATCGGTGGAAATAAGACTGCTCTGGGCTTTATTTATTAAAGTTTCAAATGAAATTAATGTCTCAGTTTGTGTTGTCCACAGTAGCCAATCCAATGATTCCTTTCTTTTACCCAGTGAAATACATGAAAATAAAAAGAACAATCAGACTGTCAGTTATGGGAAACAAAAAACTGACCAAAACAATTATTTTTTCTGGCCGTTTCATAAATGAGGTCCAATATATTTTTATTTCAAAATAATTTGTCACCAAGGTATCCCTAAGATGGTAAGACATTTGTGTTTTGAAATTAAAAGTATTGTATGCAGCTATGCTGTGCGGGGTCTGCCATGCTGAATTCATACTAAAGAGCCATTTCCCCAAGTGCATATGCCATCATTGATTATTAAAGGTCTTTCAGCTCAATGGCTGTTAACAATTGATAATAGCTATTACACTGCTGTTAAATAAGCACATTGTTGTGCAAAGCTCACTAGATTCTGCTGATTGTGACACGTAGTTTTTCATTAGATAAGTATCTCATATATCTACCAGTGCTCCAGCTCAGGAGAAAAACTAATATGTGACTAGAGATAAGTAAGGGTGTGTGTTTTTAATACATTAGTTTATGTATAGTATTCATTTAGAATTAACCTGATATAAAAGTTTGCAACACAGAGTATATTGAAATTCTGCATGCCAGATGAATATTTACTCAGCATTGCCAAATGCACACAGAGTCAGTGAAAAAAAGCTCTGATGCTTTGTTTAGGCTTATTAGCTGGAGAGAATCTTAAAAGTAAACACATAAACACGCATTCATATTCACTCTCTCTACTGCTCACAGCAATACAGGTTATTGATGGCTAATTTTCATTCATGCAAACACTGCTTGTATGCTGCTTTGTGGAAGTGAGCGATAAGATTCAAGCATCACCCTGTGATGTGCTTCAAGTAGCCAGTTTTTTTTTTAACTCCAAAACTAAACCTTTTCTCAGCACATAGAAGTGGACATTCAACCAATCTTCACAGCATCAAATCTCACACACATTGGCCTGCTGTCATTTTCACTGAAGATGCATAACAACGTCTGCATACTAACTGCAGAAAGATTAAAATACCTGCCAGGCAGTGATTTTTTTCTCAGTGTAGTGTAGCAGCATAAAACAAAAGAAAAACCTAGCTTAAAAAGGTACAAAACTTTAATTTTTGTGAAATGCGTTAAATACCTGAAAATATATATGCAGGAGTTCTATATGT